AACAAAAGAAAAGAAAGACTGGTGGGCGACGACTAAAGGTGAGAAATAAGGAAAAGAAAGGAATACGAACCCTAAGGGTTTAGTTCGCTTTTATTATATTAGAATAAATTGTAACATTTTAGAAAATTAAAAAAGAAATATGAGAAAGTAAAGATTAAGTAATTTTAGCCCAATTAAACCTAAATTTTTTAGTTCTGTCAAATGTTAAATTAATAAGGTGTTTGGGAATATTGTATAGTTTACTTTTTACCATTTATTACATATATAAATTGTGTTATATATGTATATTTTAATGTTAAATTTACGATTAATGATTATATTCATTTACATAGAAAATTGATAATAATAATAATAATAATAAAAGATATTATTATAAAATTTTTCAATAATTGGAAGCGGATAATTTTTATTGATTTTTTTTTCAAAATTACTCTTAAGATAAAAAATGATTTAATGGAGAATATTTTGAAAATAATATATGCATATATATTTTCTAGCTTGAAAGTAATATTAAAATATAGCAATATATCAACTTAAATTAAATTCAAGTATATATATAATCAAATAATAAATCACATATGTATACTATTAATTATATTTAAATCAAAATTTTATTTTATATTAAAATATTATGATTTTAAATAATTAAAAATTATAAAATATTTTACTAATTAATTATTATTTTATTTGAGAATGTGTGAATTTAATTTTTTGTATAAAAAGCATATATATTTATTATTAAATTAAAATTTTAAATGATTTATATTTCATCCAAAAAAAAAAAATGAGTGACCCGGGCGTAGTCGGGGAATTTTCTAATATCTATATTATTATAAAATTTTTATTAAAATTGAGGTCATGAGTAAATTAATACCAATCCAATCAATTATTAGTAATTATAAAAAATAAAATAAAATTATTATAAAAATATAAAATCAATGATATATGTGTCTTTTCGTTATTTAAAAAAAAGCCCACTTTTTTTTTATCAATTATTCGCTTCCAAAATATATTTTTCTGTTTTCAAATACCATTTTTTTTCTACCAATTCTAGTATCAATTATTAGAAAGTGAAAAAACTGATATGTATTTTGAATAAAATCATTTGAAATATATTAAATTTATTGCTGTCAAGAGTTAAAATAAAAATATTTTAAAATTTAAATTCATTGAAAAGTGAATATTTACCACAACTTGCCAGGAAGACCAGAGGAAATATCCTCACGTTGACTTCCACAGTTCCACTTTGAATGAAATGGAAATTTCAATAAGTTTGGCTAAAATTTCCCATTCCACTAACTAAGAAATTAATATTTAATTACTCAGTTACCCATGTTGTTCTTGATCTATACGCTTTTGTGCTTGCCTGCTATGGTGCTCCTTTCTCCTGTTGTTGTCTGAGACTAGCAAAAATAAAAACTCTTTGATTCAACAGCCTTTGATTTAAGTTTCTTATTGCTCTTTCTCCCTCTCGTTGTTAAACACTCGTCTTCTTCTCTAGTTATTAGAATTAGAATCTTGTGCAAAACTATGGGGAACGTTTGCTCTATTTCTTTGTCGTGTGATACCATAATTTCCCGCTGCTGGGATTGTGTTGCTGGACAAGTAATCTACGCCTGCCATCTTCAAGAAAACCTTGCTGACTTGAACACAGCTCTGGACGAATTAAAGGAGCGAAGGAATGATGTGATGAGGAAAGTCGACATCGCTGTACAACAAAAATTGAGGCCGCTCGATGAAGTTGGAGGATGGCTTTCAAGGGCAGAAACTATGATACATGAAGTTGATGAACTGCTTATTGATGGTCCTGAAGAAATCAAGAATTTATGCATGGGAGGCTGTTGTTCCAAGAATTACAAGTCTACCCTCAATTTCAGCAAAAGAGTGGCCAAAAGCGTACGTGATGTTAAGGATCTAAAGGGAAAGGGAGCTTTTGAAGTGGTAGCTACGGAGGCACCTGCAGCTCCGGTGGTTCCAAGACCGAGCGACTCTGCCGTAGGCTTGGAATCCATGTTTAATAAGGTCTGGAGTGCCTTTGAACAAAAGCATGTGGGAATTATTGGCTTATATGGCGTTGGGGGAGTTGGCAAGACTAGGCTCTTGACTGAAATCAATAACAAGATTGGTGTTTCATCAGGTGGATTTGATGTGGTTATTTGGGTTGTGGTGTCTAAAGGATTTTATGTTGGAAAGGTCCAAGATGATATTGCAAAGAGGATTGGCCTTTTTAATGGAAATTGGAATGATAAAGCTCCCGAAGAGAAAGCTACAGACATCTACGGGATTTTGAGAGAAAAGAAATTTGTATTATTGTTAGATGATATATGGGAAAGAGTTGACCTGTCCAAGATAGGAATACCTGTCCCGACTAAAGAAAATGGTTCCAAACTAATTTTTACAACTCGTTCTACTGCGGTCTGTGGCCAAATGAGAGCTCATGAGAAGATTCAAGTGCAATGTTTGCCTGAAGAAGAGGCTTGGAAATTGTTTGAGGAACATGTTGGTAAAGATGTCTTTGATAGTCATCCAAATATTCGTGGGCTAGCTCAAGAAGTGGCCAAAGAATGTGGAGGACTACCGCTTGCACTCATCACTATCGGTCGTGCCATGGCTTGCAAGAACACACCCGAGGAATGGAAATACACAATTGAAGTCTTGAAGAAATCAGCCAATTTTGTTTTTCCAAACATGGGCGAAGAGGTATATCCTCTTCTAAAATTCAGTTATGATAGTTTGCCAAATGACATGGTTCGAACTTGCCTCCTATATTGTAGCTTGTTCCCGGAAGATTTTCGAATTCTTAAAGAATCGCTGATAGATTTGTGGATAGGAGAAGGATTTTTGGATGAACATGACAGTCAAGCTCAAAATCAAGGACACCATATCATTGGTTCTCTCATTCATGCATGTTTACTGGAAGAAGTAGATGATTGGTATATAAAAATGCATGATGTGATTCGTGACATGAGTTTGTGGATAGCATGTACGTGTGAAGCAGAGAAATGGAGGTTTTTTGTGCAAGCAGGTTATCATTTGACTCAAATGCCAGAGGGTGGAAGATGGAAAGGTATGCGAAGAATGTCATTGATGAGAAACGAGATTGAAAATCTAACAGAAGCACCTAACTGTTCCGATCTTCAAACTTTGTTTCTCAACAATAATCCTCAGTTGAAGGTGATTCACAATGATTTCTTCCAATATATGTGTGGCCTAAAAGTTCTAAGCCTTAGAGGAAGTCTTGGTATAACAGAATTGCCAGTGGGGATTGCAAAATTGGTATCTCTAGAATATCTCGACCTATCATCTACAAATATAAGAGAGCTACCAATTGAATTGAAGGCTTTACAAAAGCTGAAGTGTTTGAACTTGAGTTACATATACTGTGGCATCACAATCCCAAGAGGGTTGATATCTAGTTTCTCAAAGCTGCGAGTATTGAGAATGATTGGCTCTTATCTTTCCGATGAGGCAGTAGAAGAAAGCCATGAATGCTTGTTAGAAGAATTGCAGTGCTTGAATCACTTGAATGCATTGTCCTTGTCTATAACAAGTGCATTTGCTCTTGATAGATATTTGAATGCAGAAAGATCACACAGCTACACTGAAGAAATTGGGCTCGAGATTTTGAACGGCTCAAAGCAATTGAATATTTTATCTTTAGCGAATATCAAGTCTCTACATACTCTAGCAGTTCGGGGATGTCGAAGTTTGGAAGAAGTGAAGATGGAGTGGGCAGGGGAAGGAAGAATGATAAAAGCACAGAGCCACATTCAAACCTCTGTCATTGCAACCCAACATTGCTTCCAAAGCCTTCACCATGTATACATATACGGATGCTCAAAATTGAGGGACATAACATGGCTTATTCTCGCTCCAAATCTGAGGACTGTTGATGTAGTAGACTGCAATGAAATGGAAGAAATAATCAGTGAGGTAAAACTGAGTCAGGTGGCAGGGCTTGTAGGAACTTTAACCCCATTTGTGTCACTCGAATATCTTACTTTAGGTTTTCTCCCAAAATTGAAGGGCATTTACAGGAATGCACTACCCTTCCCATGTATCAAGAAAATTAAAGTTGGCAATTGCCCAATGCTGAGGAGACTTCCGCTAAACTCTAACAGTGCAAAAGCAAACAAAATCAGCATTGAAGGAAAGGAAAAGTGGTGGAAAGAGCTGCAATGGGAGGATGAATCTACTAGAAATGCTTTTCTTCCTTGTTTCGTCGCAATTTAAAGAAAGGCATGAAATTGCAAGTAAGTAATCTTACATTTACCTTTCTCCATCTCTGTTACTGTTGTCTTGAACTTCTTGTGTCATATCTAACTTGCTTTGGTTGAAAATACGACGCAGAACTGTTGTGGGGAATGTCTACGTCCAATGCTTCACTGTTTTTGAAGAAATTTAGTTATCGTCAGTCAATTTATCATGAAGCTTGCTAAACATACTGTTGCTTGTAGAGAGTATTTTTAAGAAGATCTGATTTTTCCTTTTTAGCGGACTAAGAAAGACTCTAAAGCTCGTCTGTGTGCCCCAACAAATGTAGCTGCTGAGCCAGAAAATAAGGTCGTTCGTAATCATTGTGGTATAGATTATAATTACTCGTTCCTTATTCGGATTCCGTGTTCAAGTGTTGCTTTTCTGTTGTAGACCTTGGGATTATTTGTCTTTAAAACATATTTACTTTTGTTTTCCTATTTTTTTTCTTGAATGAATGTTGTCGCACTCTCAATCTAAGGCATAGTATGATCATATTATTTTAAACTAAAATTTTAAGGGAATACGAAATTTTCTTTGTTAATCATTTAAAATTTTTTTAATAAAATAATTTATGAAAGAAAAATTTATATTTTTAATCTAATTAATAATATATTTCTATATATATCAAAATATAAACAAAAAAAAATTTAAATATAAAACTACTAAATATTATTTTTTGAAAATAATTATATAAACAAATTACTGGATCAAAACTATGTTGAAAATAATTTTTGTAAAAATTACCGACTCTGCCGTAGGCTTGGAATCCATGTTCAATAAGGTCTGGAGTGCCTTTGAACAAAAGCGTGTGGGAATTATTGGCTTATATGGCGTTGGGGGAGTTGGCAAGACTAGGCTCTTGACTGAAATCAATAACAAGATTGGTGTTTCATCAGGTGGATTTGATGTGGTTATTTGGGTTGTGGTTGGAAAGGTCCAAGATGATATTGCAAAGAGGATTGGCCTTTTTAATGGAAATTGGAGTGATAAAGCTCCCGAAGAGAAAGCTGCAGACATCTACGGGATTTTGAGAGAAAAGAAATTTGTTTTATTGTTAGATGATATATGGGAAAGAGTTGACCTGTCCAAGATAGGAATACCTGTCCCCAACCAAGAAAATGATTCCAAACTAATTTTTACAACTCGTTCTACGGAGGTGTGTGGCCAAATGAGAGCTCATAAGAAGATTGAAGTGCAATGTTTGCCCGAAGAAGAGGCTTGGAAATTGTTTGAGGAACATGTTGGTGAAGACGTCTTTGATAGTCATCCAAATATTCGTGGGCTAGCTCAAGAAGTGGCCAAAGAATGTGGAGGACACCTCTTGCACTCATCACCATCGGTCTGCCATGGCTTGCAAGAACACACCCGAGGAATGGCAACACACAATTGAAGTCTTGAAGAAATCAGCCAATTTCGTTTTTCCAAACATGGGCGAAGAGGTATATCCTCTTCTAAAATTCAGTTATGATAGTTTGCCAAATGACTTGGTTCGATCTTGCCTTCTATATTGTAGCTTGTTCCCAGAAGATTTTCAAATTCATAAAGAATATCTGATAGATTTGTGGATAGGGGAAGGATTTTTGGATGATCATGACACCATAAGTCAAGCTCGAAATCAAGGACACCACATCATTGGTTCTCTCGTTCATGCATGTTTACTGGAAGGAGTAGATGATTGGTGTATAAAAATGCATGATGTGATTCGTGACATGAGTTTGTGGATAGCATGTACGTGTGAAGCAGAGAAATGGAAGTCTTTTGTGCAAGCAGGTTATCATTTGACTCAAATGCCAGAAGGTGGAAGATGGAAAGGTATGCAAAGACTGTCATTGATGAAAAACGAGATTGAAAATCTAACGGAAGCACCTAACTGTCCCGATCTTCAAACTTTGTTTCTCGACGATAATCATCAGTTGAAGGTGATTCACAATGATTTCTTCCAATTTATGTGTGGCCTAAAAGTTCTAAGCCTTAGTGGAAGTCATGGTATAACAGAATTGCCAGTAGGGATTGCAAAATTGGTATCTCTAGAATATCTCGACCTATCAAGTACAAAAATAAGAGAGCTACCAATTGAATTGAAGGCTTTGCAAAAGCTGAAGTGTTTGAACTTGAATAACATATTACGTCACATCACAATCCCAAGAGGGTTGATATCTAGTTTCTCAAAGCTGCGAATATTGAGAATGATTGGCTCTTATCTTTTCGATGAGGCAGTAGACGAAAGTAATGAATGCTTGTTAGAAGAATTGCAGGGCTTGTATCACTTGAATGCATTGTCCTTGTCTATAACAAGTGCTTTTGCTCTTGATAGATTTTTAAATGCAGAAAGATCACACAACTACACTGAAGTAATTGCGCTTGAGATTTGGAGGGACTCAAAGCAATTGAATATTTTATCTTTAGCGAATATCAAGTCTCTACATACTCTAGTAGTTGGGCGATGTGAAAGTTTGGAAGAAGTGAAGATGGAGTGGGCAGGGGAAGGAAGAATGATAAAAGCACAGAGCCACATTCAAACCTCTGTGATTGCAACCCAACATTGCTTCCAAAGCCTTCACATTGTTTTCATATACACATGCTCAAAATTGAGGGACATAACATGGCTTGTTCTCGCTCCAAATCTGAGGGATGTTAGTGTAGCAGGCTGCAATGAAATGGAAGAAATAATCAGTGAGGTAAAACTGAGTCAGGTGGCAGGGCTTGTAGGAACTTTAACCCCATTTGTGTCACTTAAATATCTTAATTTAGAGGAGCTCCCAAAATTGAAAGGCATTTACAGGAATCCACTCCCCTTCCCATGTATCAAGAAAATTGATGTTCGCCATTGCCCAAAGCTGAGGAGACTTCCACTCAACTCTAACAGTGCAAAAGCAAACAAAATCAGCATTGCAGGAAACGAAAAGTGGTGGAAAGAGCTGCAATGGGAGGATGAATCTACTAGAAATGCTTTTCTTCCTTGTTTCATCGCAGCTGAAAGAAAGGCGAGAAATTGCTAGTAAGTAATCTTACATTTACCTTTCTCCATCTCTGTTACTGTTGTCTTGAACTTGTTGTGTCATATCTAACTTCCTTTGGTTGAAAATACTACGCAGAACTGTTGTGGGGAATGTCTACGTCCAATGCTTCACTGTTTTTGAAGAAATTTAGTTATCGTCAGTCAATTTATCATGAAGCTTGCTAAAAATACTGTGTTGCTTGTAGAGAGTATATTTAAGTAAGATCTGATTTTTCCTGTTTAGCGGATTGAGAAAGACTTTAAAGCTTGTCTGTGTGCCCATCAAATGTAGCTGCTGAACCAGAAAATAAGGTCGTTGGTGATCATTGTGGTATAGATTATAATTACTCGTTCCTTATTCGGATTCCTTGTTAAATTGTTGCTTTTCTGTTGTAGACTTTGGGATTATTTGTCTTTAAAACAGATTTACTTTTGTTTTCCTATTCCTTGTCGGACGAATGCCAGCAAACTCCGATAGCACGATCATATTATTTTAAAATAAAATAATAATATAATATAATTTTTTTAATTATTTTAAAATTTTTCAATAAAATAATTTATTTATGTAAAATTTATATCTTTAATTTAATTAATGATACATCTTTATATATCAAAATATAAATAAATAAAAATTTAAATCCTAAATTTGGTAAATATTATTTTTTTAAGAAAACTATATGAATCAATTACTGGATCCATTATTATAGGGTAATGTTACTATATTATCCTAATAACTAGAAAAATAACCCAGTCACAAATGGGTTGTAAAATATTTTTATTTTGATGAAATTTAAATTTTTTAATTTAATAATAAATTAAGAATTATCTTTTACTATTTTGTTGGTTTTTTATTTTTAGAAAATATAATCTTTTAAAAAATAAAAAATTGATATTCTAATTGTGTCACCTAATTAAAATTGGATAGGTGTTGGCTTTTATTTTAAATAAGGGAGATTATTTAAAAAATTTGTATAGATTAAATCCAAATTCAATAATATATACATGATAATCCAATCCACTGCTACAATATTTATTTATTATTAATATTAATCAATTATCAAATTTAAACTCATTTGTCCGTGAAATCAAAGGTCACTGATATCGTTACCCATTCAACTCAAATTTTTTTAATAAAAAAAAATTGATAATTTTATTATAATAATTTTAACTAATAATAAGTGTATGATATTTTTATAATTAGGACTAGATGAGGCATTATAATAATTTTGACCAATTGTGATATCGAATATTTCAATAATTATAATAATAGAGATATTATAATAATTTTGGTTGATTATAAAAAAAGGTGTTACAATAAAATTGGACACATGCATTCAATTGTCAAATAATTAAAAATGTATTATGATCATTTCTAATGACATTTTAGTTGATTATGAAAATAAGGGCATTATATTAAAATTTTACACGTGTCAAGTAATAGGTAAATAATTAGAAGGTCATAATTGTCATTTCAAAATGGGTTTATTTTATTTATATAATTATAAATTTTCAAATAAAATGACATATCAACTTCTTATGAACTAATTACAAGGATATTTTCATAATTATAGTAAATAATATTAGAATAATTTTGATCAATTTTAATGAAAAAGCATTTTTGTAATTATGATAAGAAAATATTATAGTAATTTTGATCAATTATGATAGTAGATAATTTTTATAATTATAGTTAAAAAGATATTATAGTAATTTTAACTTAATATGATATGAGACGTATTTTCGTAATTATGATATAATGATATTTAGTGATTTTATATTTATAAGATTTTTTTTTTGTTATTTAAGAATAAAAGACATTATAGTAATTTGACATTTATAAGAAAAGTTTTTTTGTCATTTAAGAAATAAAAAAATTATAGTAATGTACATTCAAAAGAAGGGTGTTTTTGTCAATTAAATAGGAGGGCATTGTCATCTTTTTAGTTGCATGTCAAGCAATTGGCTAAAAATTAAAGGGGTAAAATTATCATTTCCATGATAGGTTACTTTTATATATAAGTTATAGATATCTAAAAATTAAATTAAAATTTTATTTTTTACATTTATTTATTTATTTATTTATTTATAAAATGATCAGAGTCTATAAGCTCTTAATCAATTTTATTTTCTAAAATAAAAAAGAAACCCATAAATAAGTGATCCAATGAAGTAGGTTAGGTAAATTCGAAGGTTAGATAGGGTCAACACGTTCCTATTGGGAGGGCAAAAAAGGCTTCTCAAAGATCATTGTCAAGGCACAAGTCGCAAAGGAAAACAAACCAAACCTATCTCCTTTGTCCTTTTCTATAATTGTTAATTAAAATAATGGTGATAAGATGCCTTTAATCAAAATAATTATTTAAAAAATATTAAATTATTGAATAAAAAAATGAAGAGAACATGCCTATCCCTTAAAATGCTTTAAGCAACATTATTAATAATTAAAAACTAATAATAATAAAAGTTTTATATTATTCTTTTTCTCTCCTGACAAGATTAGCGTAAATATTATGTTGATATGTTTTGTTGGAAGATCTTTTCCATAAATAATAGCTTTTTTTATAAAGGAAAGTTTCATGAGCCTGCCTTATTTTTCTTGTGCTTGATGGGTATTTCATGTAAAATATAAACTATTTTTACCAATAGATGTTAACTCAAGTAATAAAAGAGTGTTTTTTTATTTTTATTTTTTTTGATTCGATTCCATTAAAATGATGTCAAAAAATAATTTTTAATAAATTTATTAAATCTAATATAAATAAATTTATTTGAATCAATTTGAAAAAAAAAAAGAACCGTATAAAACTTAAAAAAAACTGGTGAAATCGATGAATTTTTCTTTGATATTGCGTGTATATATATATTTTCACTTTTTTTATAACAAAATTAATACTTTTACTTTTTATAAGAAACAATAACATTTAAATGGGTATTATTACATTCTAAAAATTATTTGTTTTTAATCAAATATGAGCTTCTTCACTAGTATTTGTTTTTTAATTTATATCAATATTGTTAGGAGAAAAAAAAATAGCCAATAAAAGTAAGCTACAATAGAAGCTTATTATTATTAGATCTGATAATTTTAGATACAATACGATAATACAATATAAAAATAATATGAAAAAAATTATATATATATTTTAAAAAAAATTTCGTATTTATTCATGTCGACACAAATTTCAACACAACACAATTCATGTCATATACATGTTATCACATCTAAACATGTGACATGACACGAATAATATATTTAATTTAATCTTATCATACGAGTACATTTAACATGTTTAATACGTTTAAAATATTTTTTATATTTATTTTAATTTAATATAAACATATAAAAATTATTTTAATTTTTAATCTTTTAATTATGATGCTTAATTAGTTATTTAATATCATATAAAAATTATTTTAAACATTTAACTTTGATACTCATTTAATAATTATTATAAAATTATTTTTTATTAATAATATAAATACAATATAAATATTGACATTATTCCTAAACATTATTATTTTATTCTTTAATATTTAATAGTTTATCATTTTGAATTTGATACTAAAAAGTAATATAATTATGTAATATAAATTAAAATTAAAATATATATTAAATGAGTTTTAATTTTTTATTTTTTTAATATATAAATCTTTTTTACATTATTAATATATTAAAATTATTAAGTTGTAAATGATGGATAATTTATAATTATTTATTATTATAATTGTGTTCTTGTATTATTCATGTTGTGTTTAAATAAATTAATTGTATACGTGTTAATCGTGTCGTATGACGTGAACACGTATATTAAATGTGTTGTGTTCATATTTATAATTTAAACACGTTTTATAATTCGTGTTGTATTTTTATTTTAATAATTCATATCATTATATGTGTCAAACTCAATACGAGATGATATGAAAATACGAATTGTTAGGTCTAATCATTACTAAAAAATTTTCATATAATGAATAACAATATTATTCTTATTGTTTTTGGAGACTTTAAGGAAGGTTGCTTCTTTCTTGATGTTCTAAAGTGGTCTAATAAAAAATTTATAGATCATACAGGCCAATTCAAGCATATATATTACATATGTAAGATTTTTTGCGTGTTAATTTTTTCCCTAGTTTTTGTTATAGTGAAAGGAGAAAAAATTTGATGTTAATTTAAGTAATATAAAGAGTGTGTTATTTTAAAAAAAAAAATTTTGGCTTTGATTCCATTAAAATGATGTCAAAAATAATTTTTTATAAATTTATTTAACTTAACATTAATAAATTCATTTAAATCAATTCGAAAAAGGATATAACGTATAAACTTTAAAAAATCCTTGCCACTAAATAAATAATTTTTTGTGATTTTTAGCGAAAAGAATTCGCCAAATTAACAAGTTATTATTTGATAATGCCTAAATGCATACTTTCACTTTTATGGATAACAAAATTATGTGCGTGTGATTTATATGAGATTTTGTGTTAATTTAAATCAATTGATTTTAAATTAGTGGTATGTCCTGTCACTAAATAAAAAACAAAATGTGTGATCATTTTACCTTACGAGCCACCAATAATGGACTTATCAGAGGTCGTATAAGTGTTCCAAGTAAGTAGGGCTGGCGCCTCCACAAAACGAGTTTCAACTCTCCCGTGCACCAGATCCCTACTGTCAATCCCACCTTTTTACAAAACTAGTTTGAACTCCCAATCGGAAGGACAAAAAAAAAACCAAAAATCAAAAATCAAAATTTCCCTATTACCAGTGCCAAGCGCTTCCTGCCCCGTGCCTACACCCACTCCGTTAGTCCTAGGACCTCTAGTGCCCCAGGACTTTCACATTTTCACACCCTAAAGCACAAACCCCGCTCAAGCCCTACGCACTAACAGCCCCTGCATCAAATTCCCTGAACTTTAGGCACCCTGCCAGAAAACCCCCCAACACCCAGCTAATCATCCCAAGCAACTTCACACCAGACTTGGCTATTACCCCGACTTCTCCCCACATAACCAGCCCCAACCTAAATTACTCACATTTGCCAAGCACTCAAATGACCAAAAAAGAAAAACCACCACATTCACCCAAATCAAACCACAATCCTCACTGATCTAGTGAGAAACTCAATGCAAAGCTTCCACCTAGCAAAAAAAAAAAAAAGAGTCAATTTAGTTTTACAAATTAAAAAAAAAGAAAAAAAGGAAAAAGGTAAAGAACGGCTCGGAGGTAGGTGACAGAATCAATGTCAGTTATAGAACCCATATGGAAATGAGCGACGGCAGCGATTAGGAGAGAGGAAAGGTAGCGTCAAACCCAAAAAAGAAAAAAAGAAAAGAAAGGGTCAGTTTTGGTTTTGGGAAGAAAAGAAAAGAAAAGGAGGAAAAGAAGAAAAGTATAAGAAATGA